ACCAGGACCTTCACACAAAGCCAGCTGAAGAAGTGTAAATGTCATCAGTTTTTATGATAAACACTAACAGGAAGTGTTGGACTTTATTTGTTTTTCATTTTTAACTCCTCTCTAGGTCTTCATGAACTGGATGCCATCAATGATCAGGAGGTGAAGGACTTCCGCTGTAAGATGTTTCGTATCACAGAGGAGAAGATGCAGCAAGCTCAGGTGATGACGTGCACAGAGTGGTTACAGGCGTGCTGCTCCCCACAGCTGGAGCCCACAGCAGTGACCCTCGTCACAGACGGCGTCAACGACCGACCAGCTGATCTGAAAGTCTTCATCCACTTTGACCAATCCCAGGTGAGCTCCTGCGCCCCAACTGCACAGCCGTTAATCATTTAAGATAGACATGTTTTTATTTTTGTTTAAATGATGCATTAATGGATCACATGAGAGCTGATTTCCATCGGTATCAGTTATTATTGATGCTGCTGTTGTATAGCACTTTCTATGTTTGTACCGAGACAGAACATCTAAAGAGAAAACTAAATAAAGTTCATTAGAGCCGCGTCAGTCTGACCTTTTCTTTGTTTTTCTGAGAGATGACATTTGAAGCCCCCGTCTAGAGCCGTGTGTAAAGTCTCAGCTGCACACATTAAAGAGCAAGTCACCCCATACAAGAAACTTACTTCGATCCCTCTTCATGTTTGAAAAATGCAACACATGCTGTCGCCTTGCAGACCGAGAGGGCGGAGCCGCAAACCATTACACACACACACAGGCTCACAACAACATTGTGACATCATAAGGACCAGTTTACATCATAGCATACCTCTTAGCCAATAGCGGTGGCAGATTTAAATTCAAATGCAGTGCAGAGTTTTTACCCGACGACGGCACGACACTGCCAGTTTTAGGCAGAATATTTAAATTTTAACTAAGATGCACTGAAGTACCAAATTATTGACGACATGTGTGTGCAGCACGATTAGACACGCATTTTTGTAGTTTATCAGCAAAAAAAACCCTAACCCTTTAAACACAGGAATGAAGCTTTGCTTTTATTCAGTGGATTTATTTAATGACGCTGAAACAAACATGCGCCCCATGCAGCTGAGAGCAGATGCTGTTGATCATTTTCCCAAGATACAAAAAACAACATTTAACATTCCTGTTAAACATTCCTGCCTCGCATAAAGAACTGGGATTACCGCGCTGACTCACAACACCAACCGCCTTGTGTGAGTGGGAGAAGTCATGTGACTCCACCAGAGCGTACTCATGTTACTGTAGCTCTGGATGTTTCTCCTTCTGATCCTCAACAGTAGGGCAGCATCACAAAAGTCACGTGGCTGAGCCCAACTATCCAGACATGTGATAACACGAGTGGGTCGGAACCATCAGTGAAACAGTCTCTCTGACGCTCACACTCATTCGCTCAGGAGACCAGAACGCTGATTAACAGGAGCTCCGTGGGCTCTCCGTCTCAGAAGTCACCTCGTCCCTCGATCTGCCGCGCTGCCACTCGTGTAGAAACGATATCTAAGAGGAAAACAGACGGCCGTGTCCCTGCTGAGTCTCTGGGTTTCGGCTTTGATCAACATCACACAGAGTATCCGCGGGTCCTTAAAAAGTCTTAAATTTGCTTTTCCAAATTTAAGGCCTTAAAAATCCTTAAAAATGACAAATAATCCTTAAATACAGTTTCCAAAGGTCTTAAATTACTAAAGACCCAATAAACAAGATTCTTTTATTTCTATAAAAATTTTGTGAATTTTGTAGTTGGTGTTCAGCATTTTTTGTGTACGATGTTGCCGTAAGCGGAACCGTACACATTCAGCTGGTTGTGAAAGGGGGCTACTTTTAGATGAGCACATTAGCTGGTTAGGCTAGTGGGAGCTTGCGCCATGGGGAAGTGCAACATTAATGGTAACTGGATGGCTAATCCCACGTTTCGCGACGTGGTTAGCACCGGTTCCAGGCAATAGCTGGAAATTATAGCTTAAATTAAATTTTTAAAAGTTGCTTAAATTTGGTCAAAGTGGTCTTAAAAAAGGTCTTAAAAAGTCTTAAATTTGGCTCCCTTAAACCTGCAGATACCCTGATCACAGACAAACAGAACCACCTAGACGGAGACGGGCCATCATCAGGTGGATGTAGTCAGGGAGGGCAGACCCAGTGAGCTTCATTACAGACAGGAAGTGAGTTTTACTGTGTGATTATCAGGCTGAACTTAAGTGATGTCATCAGGATGTCTGTCGTCCTTCACCACACTGCCTCGCAAAGTTAGCCTCCAACTGTTATAAAGAATAGAAAAGTTCACAAGTTTAGGTTCTTGTTTCGCTCTTGCTGAGTGTTTTCCTGCAGCTTTGTCCATGTTTAGTTCATTATTGATCAGCGACATTTGTATTAAACCTGTAGGAAATCTCTGCCAGCAGGTGAGCAGCAGGTAGCGATGCGTCTCCGAGCACACGTTTAAACACAGCAAGCGTCTGTCTGGTGTCTCAGGTGGGGCTGGTTTTCTGCAGCAGAATCAGAGGGACTGTCGACCCATGTTGGCATGTGTTTGTGTTTGTTTTAGTGATTTCCTGATGTTGTCACAGGCCCAGCAGGAGATGACAAGTCACTGTGATCTTCTCTCTGGTGTTTAACTGTTTTTATGTTTTAAACATGAACACGAGGGTTTTATCTCTCTACCTAAAGCAGTGAGAGTCGTTCCTCTCTGCTGAGTCCAATAAAGATGGCAGCCACAGCTGACCGATAACACGTGACCCAACACAGCAAGCAGTACGGACAGAAGAGGAACCAGATCAGTCTCTTTCTGATGCTGGACTAACATTTACTCTAAAGATAGGGAGGTAGGGCTGGGCGACACGGCCTAAAATCAGCATCACGATATATTGAGGGTTTCACCTCGATGACGATGAATGGACGATACCTGCAGGTATGCGCAGAAACAAGCGTTGTCCACTAGATGGGGCCGTCACACGTACTAGTTGAGACATTTAGACCCGACTCCAGGTGGTACAGCTTCTTAAAGGGACAGCTTCTCAACTTTTTGTATTGTCAGATTTATTGACATGGGAAAACTATCTGGATGAGAATCAGAAATTTTGATAACAATACATTTTATTTATTGATTTAGATTTATTGCCCAACCCTACAGGAAGGAGAAAAGGTGTAACCCAACAATTCCAGGACATTTGATGCTTTTATTCAAAGTTTGAGACCATTTTCACGTCTCGTTCATGACGAAGGTTTACAGATGGCTTCTCTACAGAAACAAGTACTTTATTTTCAGTGAAATGTTTTATGTGTTTAATGTTTTTTTACCACGTTATCTAAAATGATTTTGTGATGCCCACAACTCAATAGTTTGGACTCGTTCAACATTGTCATTTTTGTTTGGATCCATCTTTTTTCTCTCCTATTGGCACCTTGAAGGACTCCACCAGTCTAAAGGTGCCCATGTCCTGCACACCTTCCGAGCTGATGGAAATAGCGGTGAAGAAGTGGCTGACCACGCACGCCCCTGAGGACGAGGCCTACAGTCGCCAGTACGTACTGAGGGTCAGCCAGTGCCTGGAGTTCCTCTGTGGAGACCATCCTTTGATTCAGTACAAGGTCAGTGGTGTCCCGACCCGGGGAGCCTGCTACTCCATCTGCTGCACGACTCACCGTAGGAGAAGTTCTCCCACATCAGCTCAACATTCGATAATTATTATCCAGAACGACATCTGTCTGGTGATTTTGAGCTTTAGTCCCAACAGCAGCAGGTTTCTACCGTTTAGATCCACAGCTGCGTGTTCGGCACAGGTGCAGATGATTACCACTACTACTACTGTGTGTGTTGGTCGTTTTGACCCGTTCACCCTGCTTGGTCCCTGTAGTCACACACAGGAAGTGTGAAGGATGTATTTAATACAGGTTCAGTAGTTATTGTGTGGTGAAAACAGCAAGTTGTGCTTCTGCTCTCAAAAGCAGGAAGGTGTGTAAAAGGAAATCACATGAAAAAAACAAGCAAGTAGTTTTAGGAGAGAACCTGAAATCTGGTCCCATGTGGCTCACGCATTCCTGTCAGGTGGAGGTGGGTCATCAGGTGTGTTTAGGGCCTTTTCACACCTGTAGCTCATCTCCTTTCTGCTTCCACCTTCTCAAGAAGCTTGATTATGTGTACCGCTAAAGCCCGCCACCACCCTGTCTCTCACACAGTACATCCGCAACTGCCTCCAAGCCAAGGAGTCTCCTCACCTCACCCTGGTCCACACCAGCACCGTGAAGATTATGTTTGACAAGGAGATGTCTGCCATCGGAGCCGTGGTCAGCAGAAAGTCCTCCAACCCTCCTCTACCTCTGCCTCCCAAGAGACGCCCCCCAACGGTTAGTCTTGCATCCTGTTTTGTCTCTGCTTTGACCCAGGCGTTATCGTGATGTCATTCACACATCAGCGTGGAACAACCTGATCTGAGGCTCCTAAATGCTCTTGTGTGTCCTAGATAACGCAGTGTTTGCTCTGCCGTTGCACCGTACATCACAGTTTGAGTCTCCTGTGCAGAACTTCACAGGTGTGGGGGGTCGGCTGCTGCCACACATCTTGTGTGAAGCAGCATGTTCCAGAGCTCTGCCAGCATTTGCCACATTGTCAGAAACCGTCCGTAGTCCCTCGCTGTGCCACAGCTGCAGCTGCTCGCCGTGTGTCTGCATTTCAGACGTCAGGCTCGGTTCAATTGGTTTTAATTAGCCAGCCTCCCTGATGCTGAGCGGGCTCTCTGTGCTGTTTGGGGACAGCAGCAGCTCAGGAGTCGAGCAGGTTGTCCACTACTCAGAAGGTTGCAGGTTCTATCCGACCAGAGAATGCTGCTGTTGTGTCCTTGGGCAAGACACTTAACCGGCTTGCCTGTTGGTGGTCTGAGGCACCGGTGGTACCGGTGTTGGGCAGGCTTTGCCTCTGTCAGTGCGGCCCAGGGCAGCTGTGGCTACATGGTAGCTCATCCCCACCAGTGTGTGAATGTGTGTGTTGTGAAGTGCCTTGGGGGGCTGTAGAGGGTGCTCTACAGTTACAGACCACGTACATGAAAAACATTGCAGGAGCGAGTCATCGCCCGAAACCTGGAAGATTTACAAATAATTAACACACACACACACACACACACACACACACACACACACACACACACACACCCCTCGCCCAGCTTGTGCAGCAGCAACATGCTTCAGACTTTTATATGAATTTATATGAATTAAATGGGCTGCATGGTGGTGCAGTGGTTAGCACTGTTGCCTCACAGCACGAAGGTCGCAGGTTCAAAACTCGCCTTTCTGCATGGAGTTGCGTGTTCTCCCCATGCATGCGTGGGTTTCCTCCGGGTACTCCGGTTTCCCCCACACATCACAACACGCCCTATAGGTTATAAAAAAAACTTAAAAAAAAACTTGTACGTCGCTTTGGATAAAAGCGTCTGCGAAATGAATAAACATAAACATAAATGTATGTAATTAATATTTGTAGTTGACTACTTTGTCCCTGAAATGAATGAATTTCCTTTTACTGTTTTATTACTCTGATTCTGTTGTTTTATCTTGTTATTGCAACCAGTTAATTTGTGTATTTTTACAACTGGGGTTGCATTCTAGGTTTGATGTTTCATCAGCCTGTTGTACATTCTTTGTGAGGGTTAGGGCTAGGCTCTTTTTACGTTGCCCTGTTTCTGTGTTCAAGCACTTTGGCCAGCTGACATGCTGTTCTTACATGGTTTCTGTTAATAGCTGTGGTATGGTGCAGCGGTGAGGATGGAGTGTTCAATAAGATGTGAAGTTCCATATAAATATGAAATATGAGTCAGAATGATCTTTGAATGTTTGCTTTAGGTTACTCAAGGTGCTTTAACTATTCAGGGAACACACACTTCATATTAATTCAGACAGAGTCAAGGATATAGTTATAAAAATGAATTTAATGCCATTTTCCTGACTAAAGATTACACATGACGAAGTATGAATGCCAGATGTTTTAGCAAAACCTTTGTGAGTATCTGAGAGATCTTGTGATGTCTGGGTTGTAAAATCAGTTTGCTGTATGGTTTAATAAGCTAGAGATTATTCATAAAACCATCCGATGCCATTTGTGCCGAGTCTTCGCACCCTTGTATGAAGGTCCCTGTGCAGTCCAGGGGGTCAAAAGGTCAGGGTGGATACTGCCGGTGGCGAGACCTCTGGGCATGGAACCCGTAGGCAACTCCGAGCATGACCCGTCTAGAGACGGCAGGAAGCTGGAGCATCTGTTTTGTGTCTGAGGTGTTGGGTGGATCTTAAGAGTCATTATCTATCACTCGCAAGCGTTGCAGAGAGGCTTTGACCTTGGGGTCAAAAGAGAGGATGGCTCCAAATGCTCACTCACCAGTCGGCCGAACCAGGAGGCAGCTGGAGAACTGAGGAATCAGGAAGTGACTCCTGTATTTATCAACTCTTGTTTATAAATTTAGACAAATCAGAATTTGACAAGTATTAAAGGCGTTACCAAAGACCTCAGAGAATCACGCCTTCACTCAGATACTCAGATGTTAACTCAGTGTGAAGAGAAAATGTTCTCACACATGTATGTGAATATATATATATACATATATATACATTCAACAAAAATATAAATGCAACACCTTTGTTTCTGCTCCCATTTTTCATGAGATGGACTTAAATATCTAAAATTCATTCCAGATACATAATATCACCATTTCTCTCAAACATTGTTCACAAATCAGTCTAAATGTGTGATAGTGAGCACTTCTGCTTTCCTGAGATAATCCATCCCACCTCACAGGTGGGCCACATCAAGATACTGATCCGACATCATGAGTAGTGCACAGGTGTACCTTATACTGCCCACAATAAAAGGCCACCCTGGAATGTGCAGTTTTGTCTCACAGCAAAATGCCACAGATGCCACAAGCATTGAGGGAGCGTGCAATTGGCATGCTGACAGCAGGAATGTCAACCAGATCTGTTGTTCGTGCATTGAATGTTCATTTCTCCACCACACGTCGTCTCCAAAGGCATTTCAGAGAATATGGCAGTACATCCAACCGGCCTCACAACCGCAGACGACGTGTAACCACACCAGCCCAGCACCTCCTCATCCAACAGGTTCACCTCCAAGATCGTCTGAGACCAGCCACCCAGACAGCTGCTGAAACAATTGGTTTGCATTACCAAACTATGTCTGCACAAACTGTCAGAAACCGTCTCAGGGAAGCTCAACTGCATGCTCATCATCCTCATCAGGGTCTTGACCTGACTCCAGCTCGTCGCTGTAACAGACTTGAGTGGCCAAATGCTCACATTCTATGGCGTCTGGCACGTTGGAGAGGTGTTCTCTTCACGGATGAATCTCGGTTTACATTGTTCAGGGCAGATGGCAGACAGCGTGTGTGGCGCCGTGTGGGTGAGCGCTTTGCTGATGTCAATGTTGTGTATCGAGTGGCCCATGGTGGTGGTGGGGTTATGGTATGGGCAGGCATCTGTAATGGACGATGAACACAGGTGCAGTTCATTGGTGGCATTTTGAATGCACAGGGATACCTTGATGAGATCCTGCGGCCCATTGTTGTGCCGTACATCCATGAACATCACCTCACGTTTCAGCAAGATAATGCACGGCCCCATGTTGCAAGGATCTGTACACAATTCTAGGAAGCTGAAATTGTCCCAGTTCTTGCATGGCCAGCATACTCAACGGACATGTCACCCGTTGAGCATGTTTGGGATGTGCTTGACCGGCGTATACGACAGCGCGTACCAGTTCCCACTTGGGCTGCACGATTTTAGAAAAACCTGCGATATGCGATAACAGTGATTAATATTGCAATGATGATATTACTTGCAATAAATAAAAACTTAACTCAGGAACAAAAATAATCAAAAACAAATTTAAATTACAAAAAATATAAAAAAGAGAAAAGCAAGTGATGTGAGGAAAGGGAAAACAAAATGAACGAGAAAAGGCAATCACTGGATCCCGGGAAAAGCAGAATCAGCAGAAAGAGCAGAACAAAGCTAACTCAGGTGTTTGCTAACCATCAAAATTAAGTGTCAGGTCAGGCATGAGAACCCACCCAACTGGCCAATGGGTGAAGAGCTCTATTTGATTTGTTAAAAAAAACATGCCTCCTTTGACTGACAGAATGCATCATGTGTAGCAAACATTTGAGCTGACCATTCGTTGCGATATTTATCTGTTCTTTGTGATAAGCATATTGCGCATGTTGATATCGCGATAACGATATATTTGTGATATATTGTGCTGCCCTAGTTTCCACTAATATCCAACAACTCCGCACAGCCGTGGAAGAGGAGTGGGCCAACATTCCACAGGCCACAACTGACAATCTGATCAACTCTATGCGAATAAGATGTGTTGCACTGCATGAGGCAAATGGTGGTCACACCAGATACTGACCGGTTCCGAGTCCCCAGCTAAGATGAAGGAATTCAGGAGAAGGGTTTATTATGGCTTCCCTTCTTGGCAACAAGGTCGTAGAGTCGAGTGTGTGTACCGGTCTGGAGTCCGGTACAGTTAGCATGTGTCAGGACACGTGATACATGCTAACTGTACCGGTCTGGAGTCCAGTACAGTTAGCATGTAACCGGTACAGTTAGCATGTATCAGTACACGTGATACATGCTAACTGTACCAGTCTGGAGACCAGTACAGTTAGCATGTATCAGGACACGTGATACATGCTAACTGTACCGGTCTCCAGACCAGTACAGTTAGCATGTATCGGTTACATGCTAACTGTACTGGTCTCCAGACCGGTACAGTTAGCATGTATCAGGACACGTGATACATGCTAACTGTACCGGTCTGGAGACCAGTACAGTTAGCATGTAACCAGTACAGTTAGCATGTATCAGGACACGTGACACATGCTAACTGTACCGGTCTGGAGTCCAGTACAGTTAGCATGTAACCAGTACAGTTAGCATGTATCAGGACACGTGACACGTGCTAACTGTACCGGTCTGGAGTCCGGTACAGTTAGCATGTATCAGGACACGTGACACATGCTAACTGTACCGGTCTGGAGTCCAGTACAGTTAGCATGTAACCAGTACAGTTAGCATGTATCAGGACACGTGTTACATGCTAACTGTACCGGTCTGGAGACCAGTACAGTTAGCATGTAACCAGTACAGTTAGCATGTATCAGGACACGTGACACATGCTGACTGTACCGGTCTGGAGTCCAGTACAGTTAGCATGTAACCGGTACAGTTAGCATGTATCAGGACACGTGATACATGCTAACTGTACCGGTCTGGAGACCAGTACAGTTAGCATGTAACCGGTACAGTTAGCATGTATCAGGACACGTGATACATGCTAACTGTACCGGTCTGGAGACCAGTACAGTTAGCATGTAACCAGTACAGTTAGCATGTATCAGGACACGTGACACATGCTGACTGTACCGGTCTGGAGTCCAGTACAGTTAGCATGTAACCGGTACAGTTAGCATGTATCAGGACACGTGATACATGCTAACTGTACCGGTCTGGAGACCAGTACAGTTAGCATGTATCGGTTACATGCTAACTGTACTGGACTCCAGACCAGTACAGTTAGCATGTATCGGTTACATGCTAACTGTACTGGTCTGGAGTCCAGTACAGTTAGCATGTAACCGGTACAGTTAGCATGTATCAGGACACGTGATACATGCTAACTGTACCGGTCTGGAGTCCAGTACAGTTAGCATGTAACCGGTACAGTTAGCATGTATCAGGACACGTGATACATGCTAACTGTACCGGTCTGGAGTCCAGTACAGTTAGCATGTAACCGGTACAGTTAGCATGTATCAGGACACGTGATACATGCTAACTGTACCGGTCTGGAGTCCGGTACAGTTAGCATGTATCAGGACATGAGACACAGTTTGTAACTTCTGGTCATTTTGATGAAATACTCGGCCTTTTGGTATGCTACAGCGGTATGGTCTCTTCATATCCGTTAAGTGCTCTTATAAGTCGCTCTGCAGGGGCCCCTGTGCGGTGTGTTTATTTTGCACATCCTACCTGTGTGACATCACCATGAGCCGCCTGGCCTCATGTGTGTTGTGTGTGTGTGTGTGTGTGTCTCTCTCTCTCTGCTGGAAGCTGATGGATGTAAAGGAAATGTTTTCTACATATTTTCTTTGCTGACAGCGCTCTCTCTCTCTCTTTCTGCCCTCCCCTTTTACCAGCAAGTACAGACGAGTGTGTGGAATGTGTCCAAACCCTTTAGGATAGACCTCCTGAAAGGCAGCAAGGTGAATGCAGAAGAGACCGCCAAGGTAAACACGCTCACCTGTCAGACATGCTTCAGACATTCCACCAAATCACTTGTGATAATCAGGAGACTGCTTGTAGAAAGCAAAGGTGAGAGCTGAGGTGTACACACACAGGTCCAGGTGAGGGCGGGGCTCTTCCACGGCACCGAGCTGCTCTGTAAGCCAGCGGTGAGCAGCGACAGCAGTGGACGATCGGAGCACACCTGGAAAAACAACACTCTGAAGTTTGAGCTCTCCGTCAGCGACCTGCCGCGCATGACCCGCCTCTGCTTCGCCATCTACGCTGTCACAGATAAAGTCAAGAAGCAGAAATCCACCAAGAATGCTCACAGCAGCAAGTATCAGACCATCCGCAAGGCAGGAAAGGTGGTGAGTGGACCTGCCAGATGTTTCTTTCATGCTCGGAGCGCCTGTGATGTTGCTCTGACTGATAACTACCTGTGTGACCAGCTCTACCCTATAGCCTGGGTCAACACCATGGTGTTTGACTACAGAGGACAGCTGAAGACCGGAGACGTCATCCTGCACTGCTGGTCTTCCTTTCCTGGTACAAACGATGCCTCTGGGGTCAGCCCAGCTCCAGCTGAAGGGCGTTTTATACAGAACAGCTCTGTGTGTGTCTCACAGATGAACTTGAGGAGATGCTGAACCCAATAGGAACCATTCAGACCAACCCTTACACTGAGAATGCCACAGCGCTGCACATCCACTTCCCTGAATACTCTTCACACCCAGTTATATTTCCTCCGTTTGACAAGGTTAGTTTGCAAATGTTCTGTGTGTTTGAGATCTGGTAAAGACACCAGAGCAGCTCTTCCTCGAAGACCTCGCTGCGGCTGAGTGCTTTTCAGAGCGGGGCCTGGTGATTATCATGAAGTGGTGGCTATTAGCATGAGAGGATGGAGACGTGCTGGGCCTGCCTAATGCACTCTTGCTGGAAGTGATGTATCAGTGCGCGCCGACTTATCCAGCTCTCTACTTTTACTTTGCAGATACTGGAAAAAGCGGCCCAGCTCGTCGGCGTGATTGAACAACCCATAGTGAGTAATTGCATGCATGCCGAGTGCACACGAGGACACAGCAGTGTGAATTAAAGTCTAATGGTCGTTAGACTGAAACATTTCCAGCTTTCTGTTCGCATTCACACTCAGAGCTCAAATTAAAGCCATGGTTGCTGTTTCCTTGGAAACCTTTTGCTATCATGTGACAGGGAGTATTGGTAAAAGTGTACAGTACAGTCCGAAGCATGTTTTCAGTTATTCCACCTTTTTTGGTTCAGCACGTAACTCCACATGTGTTCATTCGTAGTTTTGATGCCTTCAGTGAGAATCTCCCAATGGTCATGAAAATAAAGAAAACACATTGAATGAGAAGGTGCGTCCAAACTGTTGGCCTCTGCTGTTGATTCACCTACTTCTGATCTAAGGACGCTAGTCCGATTACGTGTGTGTTTTCCTGTTCTCACACCCCTCTGCTGGGTGTGTTACAGCAGACATGCACGGAGGGCGTGTCTGCTGTAACACACCCAGAACGGAGATCCTTCATCTGAAGTTCAGCTTTAGTTTAGCATGCGTACTTTAATATCATGTGTACTTGGTCTGCTGGGACCCTAAGGTCCTTTTTAAACGGTGAGCGGACACTTTGGGACACTCCTGTCCTCTTCTTTTTTTTTACCAGGAAAAAAAATCCCATTGAGATTGAAAATCCCTTTTTCAGTTGAGATCTGGTGAAGATGGGCAGCAGCAAGCATCACACAAAGTTGCAACCGGTGTCGGTACAAGATCTGCTCGGGTGCAAGATCGGCTCGGGGTCCGTCGACTGCCGATGACGTCTAAGTAGTTGATTGGCTGAACATGAACCTTACGGAATGACGTAATCACGTTACGTTGTTATCACGTTACGTTGGTCCAGGCAAATGTTTCTGTTGGAAAGATGGACAACTTTTACAAAGAAATCCATCATTACCTCTTTGAAAATACACTTTTAGCATAGAGCTGCATGTATATTAGGGCTGAACGATTAACTGCATGTGCAATTAAATTGCGATGTGGCAAAAGCAGATTTTCTAATAGCAAAGGCTGCAATTTGGCAGCGAGTGGTTAGCGCAATGCTAATATACATGGAAAAACTCATAGGAATGCTAATGCTAATATCACCGATTACATGATTACAAATTATGAATTAGAAACGTGCCAAATGATTACATTTGGAGTCTAATAGAAAGTAAAACTACCATCAATCAAATAAGTACAGACAGGTATTTTAGTAAAGCCAGAAAACTTTTAACTCCGGAGTTTTGGCTAGCAGCTATGAGCGTAACTGAACTACGCATGGACAAGACGTCAAAAACTCTAAACACAAAATACTTCAATAAACGGGACACACTTCTTTCCTGCAAATACAATTTCACAGGTGTTGCTAATACCTATGATCCTTCAAGGGATGTGCTCAAAGAGGAGTTCAACATTATGAATACAATATAGTGTTTTATTTTACAAATACCATTATAAACACAAACTTACGTCTTAAGAAACATTATTTTAATAACGAAACTGCTGAATTCTTTCCAACAGTATAGATGTGTAGTGTATTTTGTCCGAGTGGGTTTGCCGTACTTTGACGTCATCGGCAGTCGAAGGACCCCGAGCCGATCTTGCACCGACAACGGAACTAAAATTCACAGATAAAAAACACGTGCTATTAAACCGGTTAGCAGTCTGCGTGAGACCGCTGCATGTCATGTAGTTGAGCTCAGGATTTCTCAGTTCAGATTTAGAAACAGTGAAAGGAACTCTGTCATCTTCCAGTCAGCCGGCAGTTTGTCCGCGCCGAGGGTGCTAAGTGTGACTGGAACAGAAAGCAACAAGCAGTCCTGCAAACAGAGAGAATAGCAACCGGCATTTTTCATTTCCAGGAGGCTCTTCTGAGTCTTGCCTTGGCCATAAATCTGTAAAAGTGAGTCTTCCTCCTGTTGGTCAAAGCAGGCCATCCTACCTGAGAACAAAACTCACAGTGCTGCATCAGAAATGTACGCTTGGTGATGAACCTCAGAGCAGCATGGTACTCCGTGTCGAGCTATCAAAGGCATGTAGCAGAAGCATTCTTATATAAAATGTCTCATGATCCAGCACAGGTGCAACCGTTGCAGCAACAAGTCGCTTCCATGCATTCAAACAGAAACACAACTTATCTAGAAAATAAAGACGCTGTTTAACTTCAGCTTAGTCGACAGATTCTCTACACGAGGTTTAAAGGTGAGTGAATATTCCATCAGAAAACCCAAATATCTGTAGGTGTGACCCAAAGCCTCAACAGTGGTTGCTGAAGGTTTCACCTGGGCCCGCCTCCTTGAGTTGGAAAACAACATGAGCTTAGTTTCATCTGCATCGAGAACAAGTTAAAGCTGGACAGCAGCAAAGCTTTCTGCACCGAGTTTGTGTGAGAGTGTCGCTGCAGCTCTAAATAACTGTCATCAGCATGAAAGTGCAGGTTTGCATCAGCAATGTTTACACCTAGATAGTTATCATAAATGATGAATAAAAGAGCCCAACACAAAGCCCTGTGGCACCCCCTTGTGTCCGTAGCAAATTCAGACCGAAGTCCATCTGATTAACACACTGAGACCTGTTACTGGGGCCACCTGAGAGCCATCCTGCCGCTCTCAGACCGTCCAGACCGGAGGAGTCCAAGTTTTAGAATACCGTGGTCAACAGTGTTGAATGCTTTAGATAAAACTAGGGTTAGTACAGCTGTGGTAGTACTATGTGTTAAAAGTACTTGTGAGAGGCTCTGCCACAAAATCAGCTGCCAGCTTCAAGAAATATGGATCTGTGAAGTGTGGTCCTGGAGTTTCTCTGTCATCCAGGTGCTTTAAGAGCTGGGCGCACCTCCTGCACTGATAAGGGAACCATGTTAAAGTGTTGGCCAGTGTACAGCGGAGGGTCTGAGACTGGATTCAGACAGAATCCTTAACAGTGCATGAGAGCTTTGACTGACTGAAAGAGATGGAATGGTTGTCCAGAACTTCTCCAGGGCTTGTAGGAAGTCTCTGCTGTTAATTATCATCGTGCTTTCTCTTTTCCCCCTCACCTTCATTCCTTCATTCTGCTCTTTCCTTTCTCTTCAACACATCTTCTCCTTTTCCAGCCTGATGACACATGTGTTGCCCGTGTTCTTCCTCTCAGGGTCGTGGAGGTAAGAAGTTCCACATAGAGCTGAAGGAGATCATGGAGCGCGATCCGCTTTCTCAGCTGTGTGAAAACGAAAAGGACTTGATCTGGACGCTACGCTACGACTGTCGAGAAAATTTCCCTCAGTCGCTCCCCAAGCTGCTGCTCTCCGTCAAGTGGAGCAAGCATGAGGACATGGCCCAGGTCAGCAGCCTCATCTCTGGACAGATTCTTCTAAACTCCATTATAACTCCAGATCTGATGTGTCGAGTTTTTCACCCATTCCAAAGCGTTTTTCCGGATTAACGTTATGAATAATTCATATCCTGATCATTTTCCCCAACGACCCCCGTTTGGAGAAGTACAGTTTATGTCCCAACAGGACTGATGAGCTAACGGCTAGTCGGAGCCACCCTGTTTCACAGTGTTTTGCTGCTGTCAGAAAACAGCTCCAGTCTCCTGAATCTCACAGACGTTCATGTTGTCCACCATTTTGACAGACAGGGTAAAAAAAGAGTAACATATGAACATTTCGCCTGCTGCGGCCCAAACAC